GATGAACACCTCCGACACCAGACGCAGACCGAAGCCCACGAAGAACATCAGGATGGCCAGGAAATCAGAGATGTTGAAGTAATCACTGAACCAGACCTTAATCTTCTGACTGATCTTTCCTCCCTCAGACATGAACATCTGCACAACACACACGACAGCAAATGAAGAGCTCACATGCTAAAGCTGCTGAACAACACACCGAGCTTCAGGCATGTTCAACAGATATTTGTGCTTCTCATCATCTGAGGCTGCGTTCACACCTGTGAATGGATTCAGTTGTTCTGAAACAGAGATTATAATTGTTACATGGCTGCTCTTTGCTCTTGGAGCGGTTCGCTTTCACACTGCAAAGTTTCTAATCGGACCAAAAGAGCTAAAACAAGTCACGTGTGAGTAAACTCTCCTCACATTGGTCAGAGTGTCAGGGTTTATTTTGCAAAGTCCCGCTCAGCTGTCAGGAGAGGTGGTGGTTTGGTGGTGATTGACAGGGTGTGCGCGCGATGTGTCTGAGGAGAGATGCGGTGGGGAGGGTGAGAAGGGTGCGCGACGATGCCTATTTGAGGACCGGGAGAGAGACGCGAGATTACCGGGAGATCATCACTCATTTGCGGGCATCCGGAGACTCGCGAAACTTCCCGCCCTACTCATAATTCTCTCTTCATATAGCCGTAAGCCTATTACATATCCATAAACACTGTGATATAACCGCGCTCGGATCGCATCGCTTTCTCACTGTAATCGAACCGCTCCAGGGTTCGTTTCAGTCGAGTTGAGACCACCTCATTCAAGCCATCTCGGAGCGATTACTTTGGCGCGGAACAGAGCGCGATTGCCCTGTTCACATATGCCAAACGAACCGCGCTAACTGGGCAAACGAGATACGTTCCCAAACAAAAGTGTAGGTGTGAAAGCACACTAAATGGCAGCGTCAGAAGACCACAATACGCTATTTTGGATATTAGAGGCCTGGACATCACAGATATTCTATCATCAGGGGTTTATAGTCTGCTAAAGTTCTAAAGAAACTTTTAAAAGTTGAACCCTCATTTAAAGTGTTTATTATAAAGCACTGATGGAGGAAGTATTGCAAGTGTTTTTTTTATTGTTTAGATGATTTTTGCAGCCTGTTTTGAACTTTAACTTGTATATACTTGCCGGCTGATTTTAATAAAATAGTATATATATATATATGTATAAAATAATCAAATATATATCAAATAGTGGAAAATTAGATAATAATATCAATTGGTAAATTATTAATAATAATAACAACAAGAATAACAACAACAATTTATATATACAGTGTACATCAGAATTATTTGCCCTCCTTTGAATTGTATTTCTTTATTAAATATATCCCAAATGATGTTTAACAGAGCGAAGAAATTTTCACAGTATGTCTGATAATATTTGTTCTTCTGGAGAAAGATGTTTAACTGTGTAAATAAGTATCTTTTCTTCTTTAAAGGAAAACTTTAAGGATTTGCAGCTGCCCATGTTTTACTGCTCATAGTTGTTGTTGTTGTTGTTGTTTAAAGAAAGAAAATACAAAAGCATTTACTAGATCGGCAAGTCTCTTTCTGCATGAGAGAGTATGTACGTTATATATGCATCTTCCTTTATAAACTCAAAATAAAAAATGGAAGAAGAAGAAAAAGAAGAAACTGAAAATGAAACTGCTCAACCCAATTACAGCACCCTGATAGAAAATGCTGATTTACAAATAAAAACAGCTCTGGTGGATTTAGATGGTTTTGCATCTGAACTCTTCACATACGCACACACAGAGATTTAAGGGGATAGTTCACGCAAAACATAAAACCTGCTCACTATTACTCTTTTAGGTCCATAACCTTTGAGTCTCTTTATCCTGTTGATTACAGCTTAAAAACCTGTAAGCACTGACATCCAGAGGAAAGACAAATACTGTGAAAGTCAATGGTTACAGGCTTTCGGCATTCTTCAAAATATCTTCTTTTTTTGTTCAACACAAGGAAAAAAATTATATACATAATATAATTCTAATTAAAAGAGCATTAAAAGAGTTTAATTATAGTCTGCATTTAGATTTATAAGATTTTAAATAGTATTTAGTCAAGTAATTAAATCACTAATTAGTAACTGAGCTCCTTTTATTCATTCATTCATTCTCCTTCAGCTTAGTCTGTTTATTAATCAGGGGTCACCACAGTGGAATGAGGACCTCCTCATGAGGTTATACAGATATAAAGCACTCTCAGATATTCTCTTCATCTCATGACGTCTGATTTCCAGTTATCAGAATGTCTCAGGGTCCCAAAACATCTTACAGCACGTTTCAGAGCAGCAAGTGTGTGTGTGTGTGTGTGTGTGTGTGTGTGTGTGTGTGTGTGTGTGTGTGTGTGTGTGTGT